AGGTTTGATTTCTTTGCATATTTGATTTTCCTGGAACTTGGCCACATTTATTTCCCAGTATTACCAGTTCCTAAATCTTCAAAAGTCCTGAGTTACTTCTGTGTTTAAAGATTAGCTTGTTCTCAGAATTGATGAGACCAGGAATAAGATGCTTTGAATATTTAAGGATCTCAACTATACTAGAGCAGTACGTACATTCTGGCAGTGAACGTCAAAGGCATATTGTGCTGAGAGTTTCAAAAGCCACATATTTGTGCATGATCTTTTGAAGTCTACAACATGTTTGACATTGGGCTATATTTGACCACTGTTTATATTGTGCATGTAGCAATATAGGTGAGCTATTGAGCTAGTATAAGATACCTCAAATAAACGTCTTTTTAAGTGATCTTCGATATAGATGGAATCAAATTTGACATGTTACAAAGAAAGTAGGCCAATTAGTGATAAAGCTTAATAGCTTAAGGGAGGGAGACAGAACATTTACTTACACTTGACAGAATGAAGAGGAAAGCAAAACATAATCTTAGCAAAGCCTTTATTTATTTTTTTAAAGAAATTAGATCTTCCTTTTACAAAAATAACTTTTAAAATTCTGAGCTTCCTGAATGAGGTAAATTTTATCATGGTTTTGATGGATACAAAATCACCAATTTCTTTTTATCTGTACAGTTTGTCCCAACACTCAATAAAACAGATGTACTATAATGTACTATTTTATAGCTTGATTTTTAATTAATATTATGAAAATTTTCCCTCTCTCCCTATTGTCATCCTTCTCTCCTATTTTCTTACATGCTATTTAGAAACACTGCTTTACAATATATATATTTTCAACCTCTCTTTTCCAGCAAGATGGTGGATTAAGGTAAAAAAAATGATACCTACAAATGCCTACGTAAAGAAATAAAAATCTTCGGGGGGGGGGCCCGGGTGGCTCAGTCAGTTAAACATCTGACTTCAGTTCAGGTCATGATCTTGCAGTTTGTGAGTTCGAGTTCCATGTCGGGCTCTGTGCTGACAGCTAAGGGCCTGGAGCCTGCTTGGGATTCTGTGTCTCCTTCTCTCTCTGCCCCTCCCTGCTCTCTCTCTCTCTCTCTCTCAAAAATAAATAAACATTAAAAAAAAAGGGAGAAATAAAAATATTCAGAATCCAGAAATGAGGAGGGAACTGAAAGTCAGGATGTTGTAACTCTAAGCTGAGGCTGTAACTTCCTTAGGGAGTCTTATGAAAATAGAGTATTTTGTTTTAACATAGATAGGACAAATGAGGAAAGGGAGTGCTCCAGCCTTAGGTAAAGGCATGACTTTCCAGAGTTTAGATCTTTTTTTAAAAAGGTGAATAAGAAAATCTGCTTTAGAATCTTAGGTTATAAGAAGGCTAGCTTTTCTATGCTTAGTGTCTGGGTGAAAAAAAAACAAATCTTCCTTGAGAAATGAAAACCTTTGGACTGAGACTTATGTAGGTTTGAGATCTGATTTTAAAGGACCTATGGGTTCCTGGATGGCATATTTATTTGGGATCACTGACAAGAAAATTCTATATTACATTGAAAACACATTCTTTCAATACAGGATTGCCTTGGGGAAAGGGGTTTGGAGGAAAAGAAAACCCTGATAAGGATAGGCTGATAATAATAGTGTCCTCAAACACAAGAATATACAAAAAAAATAGGCAGAAATCACAACGATAAAAAATGAATCAAGTGTCAAAAACTTAAGATAATAGAAAAATAATCTATAAGTAATTTACCATGCATATGTTTACAATGATTAAAGATAGAAAAGATCAACTCCTAAAAAAGGAATTACCCTATATATTTGTCAATGTTAATAATCAATGCTAGTTACAACATCAGAGTAGCAAGTAGGAAGTAATCAATGCTAGCTCTAATATCACACAACCCCCAAATCATACACCAAAGGATATTTCTCATTTATACTGGAGTATGATCAGGAGTTTAGTAGTGGCTTTGTATGTGCTCTATGAGGATTCTTGGCTCCCTTCATCTTGTGGCATTACCATTTTCTAAGATATTCCCTGAAGGGTTGAGTCATGCTGACAAGTATCTCACAGGATGTTTTATGAGCTTCAAGGTAGGATACAACACGTTTCCCCCACATGTCATTGTCCAAAACACTACCACAAAGTACCAGCCAAATTGCAAAGTAGTATGGGAAACGTAGGAAATGGAAAACAGGACTGATGAGCCATCTGCTCAATCTTCTCCTTTTCTATTTATTCTTCTGGATCTCCCTCTGAGTACTTCTGTCTCCTTCTTGGACTTTTGAGAACCCTTGGAGATTACATTGAGGCCACCCAGATAATCCAGGATAATCTCCCAACTCAAATACTGTAAGTTGTTTGCATACCTCTTTTGCCATGGAAGGTAATCTATTCACCATTCTGGTGATCATGGTGTGGATATATTGATGGGGGCGGGTTATTCTGTCTACCACACTCATTGACTGCTTTCCTCAGTTTTCTTCCTACTCTTTCAGACTTTTAACATGGAGTATCAGGGCAGGTATACAACTGTCGACGTTAGAATATTGAAATATTTTCATTTGATTGTTGAATAGCCTTAACAATAACCTTACCAAAACCCCTTAGCCCCAGATATTTCTGCCTCCTTCCCTAGGTCCCTGACCTACCCTGAGAACCCTACTACATCCCTGACCCCTCTAGTTAGGTGAATAAGATCTGGCATAACTGGAACTGGAGGCTTTGAGGATTGACATGCTCATTCCTTACCAGGAATGTTGGGTGTTTTGACTAGCATTCTTGGGAGTGCCTTTCCTTAGGTATAGTAATTTTCTTGGTGATTTAATCCAGTCTTAAGACTCTAAATATCATCTAAATGCTGATGACTCAGATTTTCACTAATTCTATCTCCTAAAGCCTCAGAATCCTACATCTAACTAACTACTCAACATGTCCACAAACGTGTGACAAACATTTAGAACGCAACTCATTCAGAAGTGAAATGCTGCTTTATTCCTTACCTCAGTTTTGCCCCATCCCACAGTCTTCTATCTTGCAGCAAATATCAATTCAATCTACTGGCTCTCTCTTAAAAACAGGGGATTATTTCCTGCCTCCTTTACTGTTAGCATTCTGGTCCAAGTCACCATTAGCTCTCACATGGTATTTTAGTGCCTTCTAAATTCTCTCTTTTGTTTCCCTTGGGCTTTTCTCGACACTGCAGCAAGAACGATTATAAAACTCCCTGCTCGAAACTCTCCTTTGGCTTTTCCCACCTCACTTAGGCAAACCCAGTCCTTCCTTTAGCTGAGATCACCTGTATACTCTCTACATTCCAGACACCTCTCTGAAACGATCTTTTACTGCCCCTCAGCCACACTGATACTTTTCTTCTTCACAGAAGCCAGGACACTCTCCGCATGTAGAAAACTCTTTCTTGCTCTTCGTACTTGCCACGTTCCTGTATCCAGAACAGTCTTTCCACGGATCCACACAGCTTAATTTTTTAGTTTCTTTCACTATTTACTTAAATATGGTCCTATTATGGACCACTTTCCTTAACCACTGTGTTAAAAATTCTGTACCTTAACTCTTTAGTTTCCCCTTCCTATTTTATATTTACCCCTAGCATTTTCCCCTTTTGAATGTACTATATATTTTACTTAATTTATGCTGTGTTTTTGTGTCTCCACCCACGAGAGTAAGAACTCCATAAGGGTAAAGATTTTAGTCTGCTTTGTTCACTGCTTATCCCAGGATTGAGAACAGGGTTCTAACCTCACTCACTTGTTAAAACTTGAAAAATTAAGCAGGATGCGTATTTTAGATTTTAAAATTTACAATAATAAAAAAAAGTGAAAGTCAAGGTTTAGAGATTGGAAATTGTCATAGATTAATAATAAGAGTAAAAAAACAAGTCCAACTTCTCTGTAGCTAATTAGTCAAAATATATCACAAATTTTAAATATGCATATATTTAGGTACAGTAAGTCTTCTTATAAAAATCTATACTAATAAAAGAATTAATAATGTCTGCAAAGGGGCACCTGGGTGGCTCAGTCGGTTAAGCGTCCAACTCTAGATTTTGGCTCAGGCCATGGTCTCACGGTTTGTGAGGTCCAGCCCCGTGTTGGGCTCCATGCTGCTGTGTGCTCCATGCTGCTTTCCCTCTCTTTCTGCCCACCCCCAGCCCCCACTCTCTCAAAAAATAAATAAACAAATTTTAAGAAAAAAAAATAATGTCTGCAAAGATTTGGCAATAAGGATAACCCTACAGTCTCATTTATAATAGGGAACACAAAATTCAAATCAAAACTTGCAAATTTTTCGCTATAGGATTTTAATTAAATGAAAGGCTGTAAATTCATGTGATGGGATAGTTTGCAATCATTAAATTTGTATTTAGTTAAATTCTCATTGACATGGGAACTATTTGCAATATACTGGTAAGTGGGAAAAACAGTCTATAAAAAGAATAAGCTGAATGATGTTTTGAAGAAGAAATGCATATATTTTCCCACTAATTTGAAAGAATGCACAGTTGTCAACAATGTGGATTCTAGAATGGGGTGGGTATGTCTTTCCTACTTATCTAATTAAGAATTTTTTTCTTTTAAAATAATGATCACATAGCACTTTTATCCTGGGAAGCATCACAATTATATCTGTGCTGATTTTCAAAAAGCTTTTAATATTATACGCATAAAGGATTTTCTTCAAGTGTGAACTGTATAGAAATATTCCCATTTATGGCATCTTATGTGTTTATGATGAATGTCTTGCATTAGTTAGTAGGGGCTAAAGCTCAAGATTTGTTTGTGGAATAATCTCTTTGGGTATTTCAGTCTTTTGAACGTTAACCTGTGGATGCCATCTGCCACAGGTAAGACTATATCGAAAAATGTCATTAACATGGATGCTGACAAGATAATTAAATGTCTACCATGCAATTAATCCAATATTTTACCTTAGAGATTCAAATTAAAACTAACTCGCCCCCTGGCTCTGTCTCCAGTCAGTACCTTTCTGGCGGTAATGTGCAACCTGGCTCCGTTGAGCAGAAGAAGGGGAAGTTCCCGATCTGGCCAGAATGGAATGAAGCCGACATAAATGCAGAAAAGTGGGATGCAGGCAAAGGTGGAAAAGAAAAGGATAAAATGGGAAAAAGCCCTGTGTTTGTAAGTCCATTTGAAGGTGACTAGATTTCATTTTAGTTTTAAATTTTGTCACGGAACAGGATCGCCTAACATGTGAGTCCATTTTCTCCACAGCCTCCATTCAAAGGAGAGAAATTTTGTCTTTCTGCCTCTGTCTCCCTCCATCCTACCCACCTGTCTTTCCAAGCCTTAGACCTGAGCTTTGCTGATTGTATTTGAGTAAATGAAAGGAGAGACGTGATCAAAGAGTCACGGTGAAATAAAGGGGGAATCGATAGAACAGTTAGCTAGTGGATTTTGGACAGAGTGGGGAACCAGACATTTAGAGACAGTGATTTAGAGGGGGTGCCTGGGTAGATTAAGTGATTGACACTTGATTTCAGCTCAGGTCATGATCTCACAGTACATGGGTTCCAGCCCCTCCTTGAGCGCTATGCTGCCAGCAGGGGGCCTGCTTGGGATTCTCTCCCTCCCCCCACCCTTCTCAAAATAAGTAAATAAACTTTAAAAAAAAGAGTAGAGAGAGTGATTTAGACAATGAAATGCCCCAGCAGACCTGTGAGCTGTTATCTGGAGATTATAGGAGACAATTTTTTTTAAGATGTTATATGAGATAACAGTTGAATCCCTCTTAATATTCTCTTCAAGATATTTGGGGAACGATCTCAGGTACTTTTCATTTATCTGTGGCCATTCAGACATGATGTGTCCCTGGGATTGGAGCTGAGAATGGTGTTACTACCTTTTCCAATTATGTTATCTTAGGTTCTTCTGTCTATTTAAAAATGTTTACATCTAAAGACTTCTTTGTTGGGGGTATGGGTCTGGGTTGCATTTTAAATAGGACCCATTTATTTGGTGCAGCAATTCATTTAACAAAAATGTTTATGGAACACAATCCAGTTTCAAAACAAAAACAAAATTGCCAGAATGACCACGTTGAACTCTGGTGTCTTTATTTGCATAGAGAACTCCAAAATGGTGTTTATTAGCAATTATGTTTTATTCACAAAATGCCGAATTATAAGCTGCGTTATTCATAACATTAATTTGTTTACAAAAGATAGTAAATATAACGAATTGCTGATTCTCTTAGTACTTGAACAATTTCAAGTTCTAACTTGTGGCACTTTTAGATGCGAGGGACTTTGGAACTCTCTGGGTTCAAATGAAAACGTTCATATTCTACATATTTTTAACAGAAATTTACAACTAGTGGGGGTTGAATGTGAATTCACATTAGGAAGATAGATTGTACAAATCCTCAGTTAAGAATATGAGCTCTAGAAAAGGTCTAAAAATGAGTCACTCCCAACAATAAGGAGGAGAAAAGTAGAAGTGACTGAAAACTCTGAACTAGGAAATAAGATCTAAACTATAACACGTTAGGGCCCTTGGAGTGCAAGTATGTCTTTATCAGATGACTATGAAAAAATATTGCTGGTCTCTGGAAGGCCAGGCATCGAATTCTAGACATGTGTGCTGGTCACTGGATGCCCATTTCATTTGGAGGCAACATACAGATATGGTGCTGGCTGAACATCAGACCACAAAATAGATACTGTCGCCCTTGGACTATGGAGCTACCTAGAACTGCATAATTAGGGAAGCGCCAGCCCTCCTCCTGTGGTAAATAGGGGCTATTACAATGGAGTGTGATACTTCAGAACTTTAGCTAACACTCCGTTCTGCCTCTCCTGCCCTCACAAGGTAGAAGAGCAGCTCAAACCTTGGTTATTACAACTGCGCAAAGGTACCATCTGGGGTGTAATTTTGCTTCCCGCTCACAGTTCTGTTCTACGACCTCAGCATTCATGGCGTGGGAAGTGACAGTCCCTCTACAGAAGTGAGTGGTGGACACTCCAAGCATGGTGATTACATTTCTATGATACAGTAGCACAGTAGCTCTTAGCCATGATTTGCAACATCCATATTTTACCAGGATCAGTTACCATAAGCCTGGACCTATAGCAGGTATCCTTGGGATTTTATAGAAAGTCACTTCTTTAGATGTGAGGCTAGTGATCAGGAAATCAGCGTCAGATAAGCTAACCCTTCCTTGTAATGCCAGATTTGGGTCTCGCTTCTTCAGCTAAGGGACAGCAATAAAAAGACATGGATGGTAAACCAAACTGAGACATATTTAATGAAGTATTGTAAAGTGGGTATAAGAAATACACCTAAGGCAAAGCGACATGGAAAGAGTACTGTTAACTTAACATGGAGAAAAGGGAATCACAACAGATTATGATAAGATGGGCCCCCCTTTACCTTTTTATTTTCTCCTCAAGGAAATTTAATAATTCAAGACATGAAAATTAGAAGGCAAGCAGAAAGTAGTGACTTGGGGCTTATGTCAGTTTCTCTGGGCTCAGAGAGAGGATATTGTCTGGGGCTACAAAAACAGTTAACACTTGAAGCAGAATCCCAGAGGTAACTATAGAGACACAATCTGAAAATTTTGTATATAGTTTTATGTCAAGACATTTACCCAACTCCTAAGCTATATGTGTGAAGACTTTGCTGCTGAGCAAATGAGTAAAATGCGACAGCTTGGAAGCTAAATAAGAGGAACTATTTCACGATGCTATGGCAAGAGATTGGGATTAAGGGTATACCAAGGTGAAGGGACTCAGACACTCAACCTTCCAGTTAGTCCCCCAACATGGCTGTAGCATTCTGTATTGAGTAAGGGTAAACCAGAACTACACCAAGCCGACCAAATCTTGAAACCCACTGTTGACAGGGTGAAGTTCATTTTGTACTTTGCCTGCTAGAAAGGAATAAAGTCCTCCTCTGAAGGAAGACATTATTACCTAGAGTTTTGAAGAGGAACAGAACCAAACGGCTGAAAAACGAGAGGAAAAATCAGACAATAGAAATAGATCCATGGGTGACTCTGATTGGAATTGTCAGATAGGGGAGTTCAAAGTAACTGAGTTCATATTTGTGAGGGAAAAAACAACATGAGGCAACCCTGGAAGTCTAGTGTGGCTCCTGGAAACTTCAGTCTGGTTTTCAGGGACTCATTCTTTGATCATTTTGACTAGATGTTGGGATTACCTTTGTCTTCATTCCAAGTATTCCAGTACCTTGAATATGTTCCAGATACACATAGACAATTACTGGGTTGAAAGCTCAGATAATACCCTCAAATAGAGCCTATTTCTCAGGCCACAACAGCATTAGGATAAAAATATGAGTACCATAAAAATCACAAATGATATTTATTTGTCTCATCGCTATTAACTCAGGTGAAATTTAGTTACCCCTTTTAACAATACAATTTACCTTTATAGAGCATTGTTTTTGTACCCGCAGTACTTTTCAGTTTTGTAAGGACCACCCCAACAACCTAATTACCTTGTGAGCTGTAAGAACTTTTACACAGTAGCTACTTGAAGTCTCTCTAATTTACTATATTGCTAGCATTTGAGAGTAGACATTTGTATGTCATTTTTCTTCCCGAGCTCACTAACTGACCCATTCTATGGGCTCAGAAACTAATAAATTACTTGCATTATTGGGCATTTATCTCAGAGAAATGGAAACTAATGTTCATACAAAAGCCTGTAAATTGTATGCAAAAATTTATAGCAGCTTTATAAGTAATAACCCCAAATTGGAAACAGCTCGGATGTCCTTCAATGGACAGATGGTACACAAACAAACAAATATTTGTATCATGAAATATTACTCAGCAATAAACAAGAACAAACTATTGATATATATATATGCAACAGCTTGAATGAATTGAATCTCCAGGAAATTAGGCAGAGAGGGCAAAAAGCCAATCCACAGGTTACCTGCTATCTGATTTCATTCATATAACATTACTGAAATGATAAAATTAATGAAAAAGAGACCAGATTAATGATCTGGTGGTATTAAACAGGTGGTAAGAGGGTTGGAGGGTGGGTATGGCCATAAAAGAGCCTAGGATGGGTCCTTGTGCTGGTGGAATTGTTCTGTATCTTGAGTGCGTCAATGTCATTATCATGGTTGTGATATTGCACTATAGTTTTAGAAGATTTTACCGTCAGAGAGACTGGCTAAAGAGGACACAGGGACTCTCTTTATTATAATTTCACACCACGACATGTGAATCAATAATTATCTCAAAATAACAAGTTTAATTTTGAAAACTAATAAATGAAATTCAGATCAGAGGTATGAATTTCATTTACATACAATCATACTTTTTAAATCTTCTCTACTCAGGTTAAAAAAAGCACAATATTTTCAGTGCAAAATATGTCCATATCTGTCCCATCCAAATTGTTTTCCTACCATACCAAATTCACATCCCAAAGCAGCTTATGCTTGTTTGGACTGCTTCCTCTGCAATAAAATGTTACTCAACAATCAAGGTTTTGTTAATTAAATACAACATTGTTAACTTCAGTCTTTACCAAGTATTCCATGAACTACCTCTGAGAACATACAAATTGCTCTATAAATGCTTGTTTATTCATCAAATCTATGCACTTATTAATTTTTTTTAAGGTTGAGTTGCTTTTATTTTAATAAAACCATATGGAGAGAAAAACCCTCAATATATTTTTATATAGCAGTTTTTTGAAGACCCTGAAGGAAAGATTGAATTGCCACCATCATTGAAAATTTATTCCTGGAAGCGTCCACAGGATTTTTTATTTAATCGGGTAAGAAATATTTTTACTATTGAATAAAATACATACTAACTATGGGCTGTACTATCCTACTTATGGAAATTCTCATTTTTTAAAACACTGTAAATTTTCCCCATGGTATTTAGTAAGAAAAAGGAATTGCTTTTTGGCATTTAATAGAAAAAAATGATTATCAGTATAGTTTACTATTTCTTGTACTGGTTTCCAAGAGAATATTGAAATTTTGTTTAGTCTTGAGTTTTCTCTACATGATGTCGAAGGATAGCCTAAAATGTGTGGGAAGCTATTCCTTAAGTTTTGACTGACTTTGCCTTTTCTGCTTCTTAGCCAGAACCTATGTGACATGAAATTCTGTTTACTCTAGTGTGTATTAGTGTTAATTTTCTAGTCCGAGAGGTTTGCCCTTGGTTACCTGTGTTCCAGGTATTCTTGAAGCATTTTCCAAGGGCCATCTTCATTTCTGGACCCCATGCTCAGCTACTTGAATCACATTGACTAGCACAGTGCTCAAGAAACCATATTTTAATTTAATTTTATTTTCTTAAAGTTTGTTTATTCATTTTGAGAAAGAAGGAGAGGGGCAGAGAGAGAGAGAGAGAGAGAGAGAGAATCCCAAGCAGGCCTCACATTGACAGTGAGATGTGTGGCTTGAACTCATGAACTGTGAGATCATGTCCTGAGCAGAAATAGAGTCAGATGCTTAACTGACTGAGACACCTAGGTGCCCTGAGAAACCATCATTTTAAATGAAAACCGGTAGGCTAAAATAGTTATTTAGTGCTAGTGAAATGTTTGTAATGGAGCTGAATCTTCCATTTACTATGGAACCCACCCAATCTCAATTTTTACATGAAGTGATTTTATTCCTAAAAGCTTTAGCCTTAATAAGACTGCTACTAATGCAAGAAAATACAATTCAGCCACCGTATTTCCAACTACCGTTACTATCTGAGAAAGATAATTCTAAATTCAGAGATATTTAGTAAAATGAGAAAATAAGAAGATACACCTCTGTCCATCAGAATATTTATTGAATGTCTACTTGTAAGACATTTTAAATAAAATAAATCAAATGTACATGAACTATGCCTTTAAATAACTTATGCTGTTAGGTAATATTGATGTGAATAATATAAATTCTGTGGTGTGAATATAACGCACTTAATAGTAATGTATTATTAATAATATCCAGGCTCTGTGCAATGGAAGTGCAGAGTTTACATTTCATGCAAATAAAGGATATTAATTCCATAAAGTGGGGGTATTTCAAATGTGAATAAGTAGAAGAGTTATATGCCATCTCTTTTTCTTTTTAGCATACCTTAGTTCTGAGAGATACGCTTGCTTTATAAATAAATTCATCCATTGTTGTTGGTGGCACTTCTACCTAAACTTATAATGTTGACACCCATCTTTGCACCTCTGCTCTCCCTCTGTGCTCTTTCTCTTGATCCCGTGCACCTGCTCCTCTTGGGGTATGCACCAGAACAGCCACAACTGAAAGTCTCGCTAACTATGAAGTCTAAGAATAATGTTTTTCAAGTTTTAATGCCCAGGTCCATGGTGATATATACACTTTACATTGAAACTCATTAAATATGGGCATACATAAAGCTTAGACAAAAATTTAGCAAAACAGTAATGAACTTCCTTTTTTTAAGAATTTTTTAAATGTTTACTTTTGAGAGAGAGGGAGAGAGAGAGAGAGAGAGAGAAAGAGAGAGAGAGAATATGAGCAGGGGAGGGGCAGAGAGAGAGGGAGACAAAGAATCCAAAGCAGGCTCCAGGCTCTGAGCTGTCAGCACACAGCCTGATGTGAGGCTTGAACTCGTGAACCATGAGATCCTGACCTGAGCTGAAGTTGGATGCTTAACTGACTGAGCCAACCAGGTGCCCCAATAATGAATTATCTATATGAAATTTACTCTCTTCAACTCAAAGCAAGGGATGAAGTCACAGGACATGATTTAAGTCAGAGAGAAACTAAGTTATGAAAAAACTGAAAAGCCTGGATTTAAGATATTAGAACCAACATGGACTTTTTCCAACTGAGAAAGTTAACAAGCCCTAACCACTAGGGGAGTGATCAGATCTGTTTATTTCTGAGAACCAGGTATTGATGGCCCAGGCTCTTGAGTGTTGATTATATTGAAGAGATATAAGATGTCTGAAGATTTATTCTGTCTCTGGTGTAGGTACAGGGAATAGAGACCTCTGTAGAGACTTCTGCCTTAATATTTGCTGTCTTTTACACACTGTCAGTGCTTACTTTCATTTGTTGGCAGGCAGCTGTTAAGTTTCACTCCTCAAATTTTAGGTATTCAATATTTATTTAATCTATTATTAATCGAAGTCAATGTACATTGGTACTTGCTGAAGAGTATGGACATTTTAGAAGTGTCACCTTGCAATTAATTAGCCAAACCAGAATTTACAATATATTTTTTATGTAAAATATTTATATAATATGTATGTAACTTGCTATGTTCATAAATTATAAACATAACAGTCAGTTCAGGCCTTCAAGGTAGTTTTGAGTAAGTTTTTTCTCAGACATAAAAAAATATTTTGTTGAGTTTTCAAGGTGTTAATTGTCCATGTGATTGAGAGTAGTTGATGGCATTAGTTTCCATGATTTTACTAATCAAAAACACATTTATGTTAATTTGATAGGTTGAGTATATAAGCTTGATATGAATTGTAACACATTTTTAAAAACTACTATAAATAATATTTTCCTTTATTATGTTTATTCATTAACGCTCTAAGTATATAGAAGCATCTTTAGACATATACCAATAGAATAATGACCATTAGATGAATTTTTAAAAAGATAACAGGACTTGAAATTGGGCAAGATTTTATTATTTTTTATTTTTTTATTTAAAAAAAAATTTTTTTTTTTAACGTTTATTTATTTTTGAGACAGAGAGAGACAGAGCATGAATAGGGGAGGGGCAGAGAGAGAGGCAGACACAGAATCTGAAACAGGCTCCAGGCTCTGAGCTGTTAGCACAGAGCCCGACGCGGGGCTCGAAGGACTGTGAGATCATGACCTGAGCCGAAGTCGGACACTTAACCGACTGAGCCACCCAGGCGCCCCTGGGCAAGATTTTAAAAAGCTGTCACAGTTAATATTTTTTATCAAAGATGAAGATATTTTTCCTGCTATCGTGTTAACTAAGCTTCAGGTGTAACTTGAGAGCTTAACTTAAATTTTAGGTCACTTTTTAAACTGTCAGTTTATGTGTGTATGCATGCTGACTTTATCTGCATATATTATATCTTATAACATTCCTTTTTTTATATGAAAAGACTATTTGATAGGCATTACAGTATTAAGTGAATGTCATGTATAGCTGTAAGAGGGTTATCTTATGGAATTATGTGCTTATTTTTTTCTTTTAATTTCTCTGGTTGTGAGAAACGAAATCAGGTTTGACTTGTTTATATCACATGAAACTATATTTCATTCAGCTACATTTCCTTTATTTTTCCTAAGGAGTAATATCTCCATATATATATATATATATATATATATATATATATATATTTTTTTTTTTTTTATTTCAGACTCCAGTAGTTGTGAAAAATGAAATCCTGTTTGACTTGTTTTCAGCAAATGAACATTTACTCTGCAGTGAGGTATGTAGGGAATTTCTAACTGAAGTCTGATTGCAGAATACCTTCCAGAGCTGCTTAAAACAATTCCCAGACTGTCAATTTCAGTTATCCCTCGCTTACCTCTAAGTTTTGGAATTGCTCAGTATTTTATAAGCCAGACATTCAAAGAGGAAGAGAAGCCTCTTCAATTGAGTTTAATGAGCAAATGGTGGGGAAATGTTAGTAGTACAATTGCTGTGTCCCTATCCTCCTGCCCATAGACCTAGGGTAGCTGAGACTCACAATCTGCGCATTTTGCCTCTTGACCCACGTGCCTAGTAATTGACATCAAGTTGCTGCCTGACTTGTTCTGCTCTGTGCTCAAGAGCAGGGTGTCCTGATATTGTTTGACTTGCTAATGCAGGGCAAATCTCACCTAAACACCCCCATCTCCACACCCTGGGTTTTATCCATCAGAAGCAAGCCTGTTCTACTCCCCTAAGGCAGTTATATCAGAAACAGGGTGTTTTTTAAAAAAATTATTTTCTCCTAAGACCCAGTCGAAATCAATTGTCATCGATTCAAACACTTTGTCTTTCTTATCTTAAATATCTTGACCAATATTAAAATCAAAACACTTATTTCTTCAACCAGGTTTACTGATTAGCATAAAGTTACCTTTGAATGGTTTTATACCTTATATTTTAGTCTAACATATGCTTATTTTATGATCCAGAGCATGCATAGACTTTACCTTTTTATTTTTTGAGGGAAGAAAAGCATAAAATATTCTATATTAAAATGACCAGATATACAGAAAGATACTTGGTTTACCTTTTTCAACTTAACTAAACTAGAAGAAATGTCCTAGATAATGTAAATTAAGGCAAACCTAAATCTTATGAGGTTAGTCTCAAGTATTTAATCTTCTTATAAACCAGGCAGTTAAACATAAGATGAATATTTCCAAAAATCCAATATTACTGAGGGTAATAATGTCTTTACTTAACACCACTGTGACTCACAGATCCTTTTTTTTTT